GCTGCATTTGGTCACGTTCACTAACTCTGCAGTAATCAGACAAGATGGAACGGCAGCTTGTCAGATGATTTAATTAAAACCACATTGCTTTTTTTTTTTTTTTTATTTTTTTTTTTATTGCCTCTCACACATCATTAATATTCTGTCTAGGACGCGCCTGCAATCTAAAGATTGGAATCAGTCTCATTGTGCTCTTTCCAAGCTTGAATTCCCAGACACACAAACCTGGGAAAGAGTTTTAAAGGGACAGGTAATAGTTAGAAACTAATTTGATTACATTGAAATGGACCACTCATTTGTCCAAATAAATGCTTATTAAGGGACCAGTCTTTCAGGTTGCTTTTAAATGCGGTGCAGGCTTGGCTTTCATGGATAGGAGTGGGAATAGAATATATTTAGGATTTCCCAGGAATCAGGTCTTTGCTCTGCAGACTTCTGCTCATTCAAATTGTTGCTTATGCAAATATATTAAAAAGACTCCAGTTAGTAACACTGCACCCATTTGAGCTTGGTTTATTATTTAGGTCTTTAGCAGCAGTGTTGTATTGTCCCTTTTGCCAGGTAAGATCCGTTTTGTGGTGACATTCCTGGGACTGTGGCAGTGGCATCCCAAGGGCAGCAACTTTCTGGGCCCTTCCCAACCCCAGAGAGTGATGGGACCCTGCACAGAGCCCCAAACCCCACTGAGAGCACCCAGCTTTGGGCACAGGGCACAGGGGACAGTCCTGTGTCACTGCACAGAGCCCCAAACCCCACTGAGAGCACCCAGCTTTGGGCACAGGGCACAGGGGACAGAGCCCCAAACCCACTGAGAGCACCCAGCTTTGGGCACAGGGCACAGGGCACAGTCCCAGCTGTGTCACCACACATTTTTTATTTGTTTAAAACCATTTATTCCCGGGCAGTGACACCGGAACAGCCCCAGCACAGAACCCCTGGGATTGGATCCCATCACTGTCCCCATGGCAGTCCCGCTGTCCCTCCCAGCTCCTGCCCCATCTCCGTGCCCCTCCTGGCTCCCATCTCTGTGTCCATCTCCGTGTCCCTCCTGGCTCCCATCTCCATGTCCATCTCCGTGTCCCTCCTGGCTCCCATCTCTGTGTCCATCTCTGTGTCCCTCCTGGCTCTCAGCACCCGTGTCCATCTCCCTTGGTGGCCAAAGGGTCAGCAATTCCCGGCTGCTGCTGTGTCCCTGTGTGCCTTCACCTCGGTGCCTTTGGCACCACAAAGGGCGGCACTGAATCCTCTGTGCTGGGCCCCCGACAGA